CAGAATTAAAATTTTATAAATACTATTTCATGTTTAGATGATCATTTAAATTTTTATTAGGTGAACCTGTTAACGTTTAGTTGTAAATATGTAGATTTAGGAAACAAACATACACAAATGGGGGGAACATGCTTTCACAAGTTCTCAGCGCAGGGGCGCAAATCAGTGTGTGGAGACCCCTGCCCGTGACGGGCACCGGGAGGGGCTGTGTCTGCATGCCTAGGGCATGGCACTCTGCTTGGCATGTATTCCACACTTAGTATTATTTGCCAAATGAAAAAGCAAAGCCACTCTGGAGTGGCACACGGTGAGAATTTTAGAACTGGAAAAATAAACGGAAAGTAATCTCCTCATTTTCCAACCAGGAGACGGAGGTCTAGGAAGGTTAAGTTGCACAGCTAATGGGAGTATGGTGAAAGAAATGTTTGAGGAAGACTGGTCTGACATAGATCTATGGGATGCTTCAGAGGAGAAAAAGAGGAGAAGCAATTGCCTCTGGTAAGAGACGCCGGTGAGCATCAAAGCCTGCGGTAAGGAGAGCGTGAGGTGGTGATGGGGAGGGAATGAGAAGCAGAGGAGGATCTGAAAGACGTTGAAAATGCATCTCTTGGCACTGCTTTTTCACTGTCAGGAAGATTTAATCTTGACCTATTTCTACACATGCTGGTATCAATCACGATACCCAGATATTTTTACCCACGGCCCCGAACCGCACAAAAAAGACATAATTAGCGATTCTTTTGACTCATCGAGGGCCTCTGAGGATGATTCATGCCTTCTGCTACACAATTATCTACCATAAATATAGATTAACCTCTGTCTATTCCAAGCAATCGCTCTTTATAATGTCCATTCAAATGCTGTTTACTCTATTACTATAGGACTGAGTCCAACCTCCTTCATTTATCTTTTGAGACCCTCCATATTTTTTTCTCCTCCGCCTGAGATAGTCAATCTTCGCACCCATTATTCTATAATATCACAGTAAACAATCTTTCAGGATCAGGATAACAGTTTTTGTTTATCTTCCCTACACATGCTAGAATTAAAGATGCAGTTGAGTTAATAACTTCATCTTTTTAACTGGAGATACGATAGAACAAATGCCTTCAATAAGAAGAGCTAGGTGATCTCTTTTGTTCAAGACCAGCAACCCAGAGAAAATCAAAGTTTGGTTGTAGGCAGGAGGGAAGATAATTTAGAGAGGCCCATGGGACAGTGGGTAAGAAAGGCCAGGAAGAATGTGGACAGGCAGAAGACAATCTCCAGGCAGAGAGGGTCTGAGCTGCAGAGGAGGCCAGGTGGTAGGGATACCAGAGAGGAGGCATGGATACTCCGAAGACAAACATGTAGAGGGATCAAGAGAGCTGACCACTGGTCTATATATTGCTGGAGATTATTGCATGACCCCCCAGAGGCCCTCAAGCCACTCCAAGGTAGCCCTAACCAGCCCTTGGGCCCCAAGCCACCCACTGTATCTACCCCACTCCCAGGCTGTCAACCTGGTACTCCTCCGATCTTGGAGGATTTCCCTATCCAAACACTCTGGCTTCCCGAGTTCCAGACTGAGTCATCTACTTCCCTGGACGCCTTCCTCGCTGCTCACACCTACCACCCTCTTCCTCCTTTGCTCAGTACAACAGTCCACGGCCACCCTGCCCTGTTTAGAAATTCAGGCTTGGTCTCATCAGTGAAAGAAACCCCCCTTGAACACAGTTTTTCTGCCATAAAACTTTTGTTCCTCCTACCAAAAAAGGAGCACAGAGGAAGTGAATCAAGAATATTTTGAGGACTTCCCTGGCAGTCCAGTGGTTAAGACTCTTGTGCTTCCACTGCAGGGGGTGTGGGTTGGATCCTGGGTTGGGAAACTAAGATTCCAAGTGCTACACCCCATGCACTCCCACAAGCACCACCAAATTTTTTTTAAAAAAGAATGATATTTTGAAACAGTGTTTATACTCTGTTTTTCTCCAATTCCCATTTAAAATAGTATAAACCTGATAGCTTTAGCAGCAGGCTTGTATTTGGGGATTGGTATATAAACTACAAGGTTGAAAATACATCCCTGCCAAGGACTTTCTCTACAGCTGGTGAAGAAGAAATGAACAAAGCTGGAGCCTGAAAAGACCAATACATTCAATGTGTTCAGACAAATGTCGGCAGCTGCCAGGGAAGACTGCATACTTAGAATGGTTAGTCGGCTAGAGATCGGCTCTATTATAAGAATGTGTTTCCTCTGCAGAAGAAAAGTTTGAATGCATTAAGTCTTAATGAGAATTCTAGAGGTCTGGGCACATAATGAAAAAAAAATCATCATCACCATAATCACAAAACACAGTTTTTCAAATAAGTTGAAAGATTTTCAGCAAAAGAAAACAAAAATTAAAAATGAGGTTTTTGTCCTGGAAAATAAATTACACAAAGGGAACAATATATTTCTGTATGTTTGACCCCCAAAGAGTGGAAATTGGCACAACAGAGCTTCATTTGCCCCATTCACTCATCACTCAGTCCCATATTCCTTCACTGAATGTCTAATATGTGCTGGACATTGTGCTCTGTTCTGAGGATACAGAAAAATAAGATATCCTCGCCCATGAAGATGTCAAACTATGGCAGAAATACAATGGTTTTAAACACACCAAATGCTCTAATAGGAAGATAAGAGCACTTACTTGGGGCTTGGGGCCATGACTATATAACAGCTTTCATTAAATGTGTAGAGGAACTGTGAATTAGGCAGCACCTTGGAGGCTTCCTTGGTGGCTCAGATGGTGAAAAATCCTCCTGCAATTCAGGAGACCCAGGTTCAATCCCAGAATTGGGAAGATCCCCTGGAGGAGGAAATGGCAACTCCAGTATTCTTGCCTGGAGAACTCCATGGACAGAGGAGCCTGGCAGGCCACAGACCATGAGGTTACAAAAGAGTCAGACATGACTGAGTGACTTTCACTCTCATATACATAACTACATTTTGTAACTGTGGCTCCTGGAAATCAAGCATAAAACTTTAGTATATTCAGGATGTACATATATCCTAGAAATCACACAATTACCACTGGACAGAAACAAGCTAGACATCAATGATTCAGAAAAGCATGACATATGCTTTCCTGAGAGCTACCAGAAAGCTACCAGAATTATCAAGAGCTACCAGAATTAGCAGAAGTGAAAACCAACCCAGAGGTCTGGTAGGAGTCAAGTCAGATAGGGAAGAGCAGAAGGATCCCAGTTAGCCAGGCTAACCTGGATTATGGACTCATCTGGACTCACGGACATTCGGTCAAGCTCATTTGTGATCAGAAGGCGGAAACGAGCCAAATCTTCAAGAGGGTCAGCTGACACATGGGGTGAGTCTGCAGGGCATTTGTCTAGTCGCTCCCCTGGACGGCTCAGGCAATGCCCCTGCCCCAACCCCAAACCATGAGACAGTTGTTTACGGCTGAGAAAACTGAGACTCAAGGAGTTTAGGTAATTCATCCCAAATCACAGTGATGATCCCAGCAAAGGCAGGAAGCAAACCCTGTGGTCTGACCCACACAGCTGTGCACTTCTAGTCCCCTCCACTGTCCGCCTTGGGAAAGACGCAGAAAGTGGTTCCAGCAGCTGGAAAAGTGAAGAAGCTCCAACTGCAGATCAATTGAGACAAGCTGGCAAAAGAAGAGGGAGCAAGAACCAAGGGCGGATCATGACAAGAGGATCCAAAGAATTAAGTGGTTACATTAGATTTAGTGTGGCACTTGTTCTTTGTTTTTGGTTTGGGGTTTGTTTTGCATAACTTCAAGATGGCAGTGATTATGTGATGAGGAATCCTGGCACCTTTGGCTGTGGACTCTAAGTTACTGCATGCCCAAGTAAAGCTTTCGATGGCTCAGGGACATTGCAGAGGCTGAACCAAGTTTATTAAGTAAATCTACTCCCAAAAGTAAAGATCAAAGAATGGAGGATCAGAGACCACAGAACAAAGCCAAGTCATCTGCCTCAGCTAAATCATTTCTTATGAGCAGGGCAATGGCCAGGACTGAGATGTTGCCCCAAGGCTGCCCTTGGACCCAGGGAAACACCTGGGTCCCTGATGAGGGACATGTGAAGTGTGCAGCATCTGAGTCGGGGCCAGGTAGGGTAATACACATCATCAAACACTTTATTCGGAGAGTTTAAATCCAACACTCAGCAAAGAGTGATCGCCTTATTAAAAATTACTTCATCAAAGTTAGACTGCTGGGATGGGACATGATTTAGCAAAACCTGAAGAGCAGACAAGAATGTAAGGATAAGAAGGATGAAAAAAAGACGGAAGATACTTTTTGGTTTGTTTGTCAGTTTTGCAAGATGAAAAACGTTCTGGAGATGATGGTGGTGTCAGTTGCACAACATGAATGTGCTTGATGCCACCGAACTGTGCGCTAAAAAATAGTTCAGATGGTAGTGGCATACACATTCCACCACAACTGAAAAATACATCTTTTTAAAAGCTTGTTTGACTGCCACAGAGAGACAACAGAACACAATGTTTCTGAGGCCCGAAGGCCTGTGCGGAAGCCTGCAGAGCTTGGGTGGCTTTCTGACTCAGGAGATTCCGGACAGCGGCCGGCAGGAGGTAGAGCCCACTCAGTCCCCATGACCCGCAGGGCACGCCCCTCCGCTCACAGCACCGCCTTGATCACGCCCACCAGGAAGAGGCTCCATCTCACTGCGGCCACAGCCACCGCGCCGGACCACAGCCCCCCACCCCCGACTCGCGACCCCAGGCCCGGCTGGGTCTGACCGGACGCGCAAGGCCCTCACACGCGTCTCACCGTGTCCCTGCCCCGGAGGCGTGCCCAATCTATCTCGGACACGCCCCAGGCACGCCCCGCCCCGTCCCCGCCCACACCAAGGTGCGCAGGCTCGGGGGCGGGGCGGAGACTGCCTCGGTCTCGCGACACCGCTGCCAGGCGCGAGTTTTCGGGACGCCGTGGGAAGCGGCGGGAGCGCCGCCTCGGAGCGCTTCCGCAAAGATGGCGGCGGCGGGCGGTGCGCGGCTGGCTGCCTTGGGCGAAAGGCTGCGGCGGGGTTTCGCTGCCGGCCGACGGGCCTGGCCGGGCCCCGGGCCCGTGGCGGCGGCAGTGGCCGGCGTGGCTGTGGCGGGAGCAGGAGCGGCGTGGTACCACGGCCGCATGAACGTGGCGGCGCCCCAGGGCAACCTCACCGTCCTGGCTCAGGTACGGGACGGGCCCAGTCCGGCAGCCCCACCACGCCCCTCAGCCCTCGCGCACAAGGAGGGTGGGGATGAGGAGTGGGTGTCTGGGGCGGCCCTGGGGCAGCCGTCTACCCGCGGGGACGTGGGGGCGTGTCCGGTGCAGGCCGCCCCGGCCCGCAGGACCGCCAGGTGGTCTCGACCTGTGCCAGCAGTGAACTCTTTAATAATGAAAGCGTGCGCCCTAAAAGTCGGTCGGTTCATCATTGCTGGTTTCGTGGTCAACTGTCAGGAACATTGCTGCATGTCATAAACCTGTGTGCTTCCACGGGCTCTAAGTACCAAGCTAAAGACGTTTCTTCTAAAACTGCCGTGTATGAAAGTAAAGGTCATTTTCCCTGGTTCCTCATTAATTTTCCACTTAAAACATTTGAAGCTTTGAGAGTAAAGTTTGTGTGTGAATATTTTTGAAAATTAAAATCAGTAATCTTTTTCTGTGGTTAGACTTACATTTTTTCTTTCTAATGGCCTTGAGTTCTGATAGACTCAACAGTCAAGATTCAACAAGAGAGGAAAGCTGGCCTTGTGACTTAAAACTAAATATTGACAGTATTTTTACTTGTATTAAATTAAGATGCCACAAAGTGAATACGTGCAATAACTCTTCCCCCAACCTCATACCATTTCTGATCCCAGGAGGAAGAATCTTAACAGCGTTTTGTAGCATTTTTGTTCATCCTGTGTCAAGCAGTTCAGTTTACTGTTTTATCTTTGGTTTCTCTGCTTCTGTTTCATCCCTTTAGTTCATCCTGTTTAGTTAATCTTCCCAAGAGTGTTACTTTAACCACATCTTGTACCCTTCTTTAGAAACCATTAGTGCCTCATGCTCCTAGGATAAAATCCACGTTTTTAAGTTTTGTTATTCTGAGCCCTCTGTAGTCACAGTATGACATCGAGCTTTACCTGCCTGCTTCCTCCGTCCTTGAAACAAGGGGCCTGTCCATCCCTCTGCTGCCCCAACTGCTGCTCTGCCAGCCGCAGCACCACCACCACTTTGGAGTCACTTGTGCACAGTCCAGAACTACTGAGCTACACGTGCTTTTGACACAGCAGTATGTATTATATAATTATTTTACTTAGTATGGCGAGGTGGTAATTCTTAACACAGTTTTTTTTTTAACATGGTTTTAATAATAGTCATGATGTCCTTCATTTCTAGTCATCACATTAAGTGATTTCTCCAAAAAAGTGAATTTATATCCATTTGTTCATGCACTTCTCCGGTTTCCATTGTGACCCGTGCTTGCAGTTGTGAGGGTTAGTCAGGAATTCAGGCTTGAATTCGAGGTCATGAAATAGCAGATAGATTGGAATTTCCCTTCTTTCTTCTTTCCACAGTTCTTGAAGTGCTGCTTCTGTGCCAGGCAGAATGCAAAGAGCTGGGAATTCAAGACACGTTTCAAGTGCTCACAGTTTAATGCAGGGGGGAACTTTAAGAACTTTAATACAGGGTGCTACTGCTAAGTCACTTCAGTTGTGTCCGACTCTGTGCGACCCCTTAGATGGCAGCCCACCAGGCTCCGCCATCCCTGGGATTCTCCAGGCAAGAATACTGGAGTTGGCTGCCGTTTCCTTCTCCAATGCATGAAAGTGAAAAGTGAAAGTGAAGTCGCTCAGTCCTGTCTGACTCTTCGAGACCCCATGGACTGCAGCCCCCAGGCTCCTCTGCCCATGGGATTTTCCAGGCAAGAGTACTGGCGTGGATTGCTATTGCCTTCTCCATTAATACAGGGTGAGGGGGTGATAAATGCTGGTGCTCTGGGGGCATCTGGAAGAGCCCCGCACACAAGCCTGGTGTCCTGAAGTGGTGACCTGTGGGATGAACAGGGTTCACAGGGCAGGGAGAAGGTGGTGAGCATTGCAGGCACGGGGACAGCATTGCCGCGGTCTGGAGAGAAGGATTGGACTGGTAAAACCTGGGCTGTAGAAGATGAGGTTCAGAACCAGTGGTAGGGTATCAGGTCAGAAAAAAGTTTTTATCTAGAGGATAGCAGGCAGCCATCCTGGAGATTCCTAACCTTCATGGTCAGAAACGGTCCCCGGAGGATACAGGCCTAGAATTCAGGGAATCTGTGGCTTCCCTGATGGCTCAGACATTAAAGAATCTGCCCGCCACGCGGGAGACACGGGTTCAATCCGAGGGTCAAAAAGATCTCCTGGAGAAGGAAATGGCAACCCACTCCAGTATTCTTACCTGGAAAATCCCATGGACAGAGGAGCCTGGAGTGCTGCAGTCCTTGGGATCACAAAGAGTCGGACACGACTAAAGCAACTTAGCACATGAACTTAAATAGAAAAAGATGACATTTTTGTTTTCAGTGACCTATAAACTTAACATTATATTAAATTGTGAGTGTAGGCAACTGGATGCAGAAGTATTAACGGTAGCTGTCATCAAGAGCAATCTCAGATATTTTCCCATTCTGATACCATTGTTACAGATATCTCAACATAACACTCTGAAATTAGAGGGCTTATTCAGCCTGCCACTGTCTCATGTTATTTAATGCATAAATCAAGAATTACGCATATTTCAAGTTTGGCTTTCACCTTTGGAAAAAAGAATATGGAGACTTTTTTCAAGGGAGTGAATTGAAAGCGAGATCAGAAACTTGCAGTAATTCAGGAGAGAGTTGGTGATGGCTCAATTAGTGGATGAATTGGAAAGACGTTTAAAGATAAATTTGCAGAGTCTGAGTTGCTGGAATCTTGCATAAAATGTAATTGTTTCAGAAAATAATACAGGTTCACTACCCGCCCCCCCCCCACTATCTAAAAGTAGAGCATTCCTTTGAAACCTTTTGTAAGCTGGAATGGTGTAAAATCAAAGAGCAGTTACCTTAACACATCTTGCTCACAGATACATGGAATAAATAGAGCTGAGTCACAGACACGGTTCGAGCTCTGGCACCTGATGTTGAGATGCTGAGTGCAGTTCCAGGGAGGAAGGTTGGCAGGGCCACTCTTGCTGCCTGGGGTGTGCGCTGCCCCTGTGACGGTTCATTCAAAAAGGCTGAGCACTACTTTCGATTTTTGCCTTTTTTTCATAAAAGCAAAAATCCTCCTCAGATTTTTTTTGGTTAGCAGATACAAGTACCAGTGTAGGTTTTTGGTGAAAGTGAAGTGGCCTGAAGCAGAGGACTCCTACAGGAATCCTGTACCAGTGATGACATCTGGGCAACAACATAATATTGCCTCTTTCAGAGATCCTGCAGAGCATGTCAGCCTACCAGTCACATTTATGTAAGCTGCTTATTATTCCAAGCCATTCTGCTTTAAAAGGATAGAAATCCTTAATAAGCCTTGATTATGTTTAAAAAACAACACACACACACACACACCCCATATATATATAGTTACCTCATGGGGAAGGCAGTTAGAAACTCTTAGAGTTTTTGAGTTGCAATGGCAAAATTATTTTCTTCCTGCTGGAATTTCAATAATATGTAGAAGTCTTTTGTTTTTATTGTATTTTGTTTTTGCAAACTAGAAACAATATATTGGTAAACCAAAACTGATGAAAACAAATCTCCATGTCACTAAGTAAATCTCTAGTGACATGTAAGATCAGATTTAGGGTAGAATTTGTCTGAATCATTTTGATATTATAAATGCTTATCAGTTCAGTTCAGTTGCTCAGTCGTGTCCAACTCTTTGCAACCCCGTGAATCGCAGCACGCCAGGCCTCCCTGTCCTACACCAACTCCCGGAGTTTACTCAAACTCATGTCCATCGAGTCGATGATGCCATCCACCCATCTCATCCTCTGTTGTCCCCTTCTCCTCCTGCCCCCAATCCCTCCAAGCATCAGGGTCATTTCCAATGAGTCAACTCTTCGCATGAGGTGGTCAAAGTATTGGAGTTTCAGCTTCAGCATCAGTCCTTCCAATGAACACCCAGGACTGTTCTCCTTTAGGATAGACTGGTTGGATCTCCTTGCAGTCCAAGGGACTCTCAAGAGTCTTCTCCAACACCACCCTTCAAAAGCATCAATTTTTCGGCGCTCACATTTCTTCAAAGTCCAACTCTCACATCCATACATGACCACTGGAAAAACTATAGCTTTGACTAGACGGACCTTTGTTGGCAAAATAATGTCTCTTTTTATTTATTTATTTTTCGTCTCTGCTTTTTAATATGCTATCTAGATTGATCATAATTTTCCTTTCAAGGAGTAAGCGTCTTTTAATTTCATGGCTGCAATCACCATCTGCAGTGATTTTGGAGCCCCCCAAAAATAAAGTCTGACACTGCTTCCACTGTTTCCCATCTATTTGCCATGAAGTGATGGGACCAGATGCCATGATCTTAGTTTTCTGAATGTTGAGCTTTAAGCCAACTTTTTCACTCTGCTCTTTCACTTTCATCAAGAAGCTTTTTAGTTTTTCTTCACTTTCTGCCATAAGGGTGGTGTCATCTGCATATCTGAGGTTATTGATATTTCTCCCGGCAATCTTGATTCCAGCTTGTGCTTCTTCCAGCCCAGCCTTTCTCATGATGTACTCTGCATATAAGTTAAATAAGCAGGGTGACAGTATACAGTCTTGACATACTCCTTTTCCTATTTGGAACCAGTCTCTTGTTCCCTGTCCAGTTCTAACTGTTGCTTCCTGACCTGCATGTAGGTTTCTCAAGAGCTGGATCAGGTGGTCTGGTATTCCCATCTCTTTCAGAATTTTCCACAGTTGATTGTGATCCACACATTCAAAGGCTTTGGCGTAGTCAATAAAGCAGAAATAGATGTTTTTCTGTAACTCTCTTGCTTTCTCGATGATCCAGTGAATGTTGGCAATTTGGTCTCTGGTTCCTCTGCCTTTTTTAAAACCAGCTTGAACATCTGGAAGTTCACGGTTCACATATTGCTGAAGCCTGGCTTGGAGAATTTTGAGCATTACTTTACTAGCGTGTGAGATGAGTGCAATTGTGTGGTAGTTTGAGCATTCTTTGGGATTGCCTTTCTTTGGG